GGAGAGTCAATGTCTGGTGGATGAACGTAAACGTACGTTTAATCACGTACACACTGCTACAAGAATGGCAATTGAGAAAGCTTTTCGTGTGTTGGTTGCTCGCTGGAGATTTACTGGAAAGTACATTTACGTCTTGAACCAGCTTAAAATCAACAATGTGATTACAGCTTGTTGTATTTTACACAATATGTGTATAGATTTGCGCGACCCTGGTTTCGAACCTATTCTCGAAAACATCCGTGATACAACTAATACGACTGAAGCCAATCCGGATGCTGATAGAAATGATAGAAGAGATGAGGCATTTGTAGACTTGATCCATACTAGAGATACATATAGAAACGGAACCAGGGAAGTTTAAAAAAAAATTTATTTATAAAAAACAAATTAAACATTATTATCATTAGATGAAGGAGGGGAAGGGGGGTTATTGTTGCTGCTGGTGGAGGGGGTGGTAGCGGGAGAAGAAGCGCGATTTTGGTTAGTACTTGCTGCAATAGATACTGCAAGTAAATCAGTCATTCTATTCATTGCGAAGGTCGACTCTCTCAAGATTTCAGCAATATCTTGTCTACGAAGATCGTACCTGTCGATTTGCTGCTGACGAATTTTCATCTGCTGCTGACGGATTGCCATTTGCTCACGAAAGAAGGCACGATCTTCTGCTCTTTCCTGTCTTCTTCGCTCTTCAATTTCTTCAAATCGATTAGCCACATGCCAGGTTGAAGCATCAACATTTCGAGGTCGTCTTGCCGTCAATTCATCGTCAACATCTTCTTCCACCTGAAAACGTCGACGTCTTGCAGGAGTTCTTTTAGTACGGTGGTCTTCTGTTTCACCCAGAAGTGAATCATAAATAACAGGAGGATTGGATGTTGGAAATTAAGCCGTTACCAGCTCCATGACCTCCTCAAACTCCCAGTGCTCAAGAGGTGCACTTCCAGTAGCTGAGGCAGCTCTTCGTCTATCTCTTTGCTTATTAACCAAAGTGTTCCATTTGCTAGTCAACGCGGTTATGTTGCGTCGACCATTGACAGCAGCATTTGCGTTGTAATCGGCTGTCACTTTTCTCTTCAAGCGCTCTCTTTCCGCTGGTAAACCAGAAGAGACCAACCGAGGAACAAAGTCTTTGAAGAGCTCAATCAAAACATGAGTCCTTGGTACATCCCATTGGTTCGTAGTGAAAGGCTCCTCTGTTTGTTCTTCGGCCGGAGTGGATCCAGTTTCAGCAGGAGGTGCTTCAGGAACATTAGGCTGGGTGGGAGCAGCGGGTGGTGGTCGTGGTGGTGGTGCAGAAGTACGAGGTAAGTTCATACCAGTAGGAGCAGGAGCAGGAGCAGGAGCAGGAGCAGGAGCTGCTTGGTTACTTCTAGGTCTACCTCTATTGGTATTGCTAGTAGGATTGTATCCGTTAACAAAGTTCTCGCTGGTATAGTTTTGGAAGTTCATTTTGTAAGAAAAAAAAATAAGTTGGTAATAAAGATATGAGGTGCTTTCAAGGTAAAATTCGGAATGGTGATCGAGCCTTTTTTGGGAGTGTACACCATTTATTGAATTAGACAATAAAATAAAACTCAATGATCAGGTGATGACGTGACAGCTTTTCACTTTCGAATCTACTAAAGGACCAACGTGATTTTATTAAATCAAAGAAAATAAAAAATAAAATATTTCCTTTTCGCTTATCTTAATTTTTTTAAAGTACCTATTTAACATGAACCCAATTGACGAAACTTTCTTCGACATGATGCAAGAACAACTTTGGATGGAGGCTTAAAGAATTTTTACAAAAGGTATTTGCATCCAAATCTTTATCCCATCCATACCTCATCAAAACTCGTTCAATCCGTTCAAGTTTTTGTTCTATTCGACGCGTCTCAATCAGCTCTATCTTTTTCAATTACTACGGTTTCACCAATCTCTTCGATCTCGCCTTCAATTTCGACATTTAAGACATTTGTGAAAACATTCTCTCGTATTTGCACATTTAAAATCGACATTCTTACTTTTTCCTCTGGATCATTTGACAATGTCAACTCAAGATCATGTTTCCTGGTCAACTGTGGCTTCTCGCGGTGCCTCCAAGAAAGTCCTGCGTCCTCTTCCTGTCTCTGCCGAGACTGATTCTCAATTCAAGTTGAAAAGTAACATCCTTTTCCATCATCCTGAACTTGATTACCAAATCATGGTACGCCAAGCAGCTTCTATTGTCAAGCAAGCACTGACGCCTGGTTCTGTTTTGTTTTCGTTCCCCGCTTCACTTTTTAAGCATCGGACAGAAGCTTATGAACTCATTGAAGATCAATGTGGTGCTGTCCAGGGATTTCGTACTATTAGCAATTATGGTACTCGCTCTGCTGGTGAATTCATGGTTGAAGTTAAGTTTGTAATGCCAACAAGCACTACAAAGGCAATCACTCACGGTGTTAGTTATAAGAACTTGTTGTTTAAAGGCTCTCCTTCTGTTCCTAGTGGCAACAATACACTTGTGCATGTCAAGATGACTCTTTTGCGAATTCCGGACAAGGATACGTTTCTGGCGGATCTCAAAAGATCTCTGCGTTATTACGGTGAAGTGTACCAGGTGAAAGAGTACACTTGCGGTGGGTACTTTGAAGGTGAGCTGTCGGTTATCCTTGATATCTCGGCTGGCTATATTGATGCCTCTGGTGACAAGGCCAGAATGAGCCACTCACAAATAATTTGTACTTGGAGGAATGGGACTGTTTTGCTTCGGCAACATTTAAAGGTGCACCCACGGTTTGTCACTGGTGTCGTTTGGCTGGACACGCAAGGTCCAAATGCCCGGATTTGGCTAAAATCAAATGTTTCTCGTGTCATGGTAGTGGACATACCGTCAAGTTTTGTAAGAGGAAAAATCTTGGTGTTACAGAAATGCCTGTTATGGATGAGATCTCAACTGATCTTCCCTCCCCCACCGTTGAGGGCCTCCATGCTCAAGTGCTGTCTGACTCGGACACAGATATTTCTGACGTGTCTACGTCCCCCAAGTTTGAACCAAGTGGCTCTGCAGCTTCTAAGTTTGCAACCACTGTTGCTAGTGTATCCATGAAGGTTGACAATCACATGAATACTACCACTACTGCTTCTTCAACGGCTGGTCAGATGGTCGAAGTTACTAGTGGCGTTATAAAAGTTCCTGGTGCCAAGCGCTCGATTTTAGGTAGGCATTCTGTCCCGAAATCAAACGCTAAAAGTCCGATTCCCAAATTGGTGGTTCGCACACCATCCAATTTAAAAGGTCATAATTTGTTCACGAAGACAAAGGTTGTTAAAAAATAATTTTTTTAATTTTCCCTTTCGATTTCTATAATTTTTTTCATTGCTAAATAAACTCACTGTTAATACAAAAAAAAAAAAAAAAAAAACAACTTTGGATGGAAGATGACGCCGAACATTTCGAAGACGAAGATCAATATTTCGATGCCTTGGTGGACGAAGAGTACGATTTGGAAGAGCAAATGCTTGAACAAGAGGTAGCCATTGCCGAAGAGCGCGTTGTTGCAGACTTTGCCCGCACCCAAGGCAACCAAGAAGTCTTTTCCTTGTTTGAACTTTGGATCAGGGAAACAATTTTACATACAACCACTCTTGTCAACTATGACATCTTTTATTATATTTTTATAAGCAGCCCTTGGATGATGACCAGAAAAGTCCACAGAAGGGTTGTTAGAACCGAGCGTATGGACACGTATGAAACTTACTGGACAATCAAGCTCCCTAACCTGTCAGATGATCGTAACAGCCACCCCAGTTATAGAGCCCATTATTGCGTTAACAAGAGTACCTTTGAGTGGCTCGTCAATCGTTTAAGTAGATGTTCTGCTTAACTTGGATCAATTTTGCGAGGTGGATACTCTGTGGAAGTCCAGGTTGCGTGTGTGCTTTGGAGATTTGCCAACACCCATTTTGGTTATCGCATTGCTGAAACACATCTTGGAGTAACTGCCGGATCGTTCAATAATTTTACAAACATATTTATTGATGCCATGTTGGAGATTACTCCCGAAATTATAACGTGGCCTATCGACGACAGTGATAGAGCTTTAAACAATGCTCGTGAGTTTTCAGAACTTGCTGGACCTGATGCCACGAGACTTTCTGGTGTACTAGGTGCGATTGATGGCAAGCTGGTCGTCATTCAAAAGCCAGCAATTAACGAAAATGCATATGTCGATAGAAAGAGCCACGCATCTATGAACTTAATGGCCATATGCAATGCCCGCACTCGGTTTATGTACGTAAAAACTGGCCATTCCGGTAGGTCACATCATTAATAATTTGTACACTATGGTATGATTAATGAATTTACCTACCAAAATATAAGTGTTTGCGGGACACCATCTCGCCGCATCAAACAAAAGTTTATGATAGATCGCACTTCTAGTAAACACTCGGGGATCATGGTTTCTGCCTTAATATAATAACAAACGGTAAGCCGCTATATCATTTTTTATCCTTCCATACAAACTTAGATTCGGCTTACCCTTTGCTGCCAAACCTCATTGTTCCATTTCATGGCCGACGTGAAAGCACTGCAGAAGAAAAGATTTTCAATGAAATCTTTTCTAGTTCTCGCATAAAAATAGAACATGCATTTGGTGGACTCACATCCCGGTGGAGATTCCTTTGGAAGCATTTGTATATGATTAGTGTTGATAGAATGGCCAAAACTATCATATCTTGCTGTGATTTACACAACATTTGTATAAATCCAAATGACATTGAAGAGGCAGTGTTGGATGGAGGGTTAGATTTCGAGGGTTTTGTGGAGGCAGATCGCCGAAACCAGTATGAAAACGAGGTGAATTTTGAACCCCCTCTTCCTTTTGATGGTACCAGCGCTACCATCGACGCAGCCGGGATGCGCCGTCTTAAGGCAATGTCTATCTTAAGAAGAAACTATATCATGAGGGGAACAGATAGACTTACATAGTTTCCAAAAGGTTTTAATGAATTAAAAATTTTATTTTATTTAATTAATTATTAATGTCAGTAGAAGATGAACCATTAATATTGGTATCACTATCACCTCTGCGAATGGCTGCAAATCTATTCAGGATAGTCTCCATATCAGACATACGTCTACGTCTATGCTCTTCCATGTCAGCCTCTCGTCTACTTCTTACTTCTTCGAACATACGGTATCTCTCTCTGGTCTCTTGTCGCCGTCTTGCTTGCATATCTTCCAATGCAATTTGTCGAGTACGACTGATACGTTGCAGCATGTTATCAACATCGAGAAGTCTTTGTTCTCGATCTTCCCTTTGCGATGCTGCCAGGCGATCCATCATCTCTACAGCAAGTTGGCGGGCACGTGCCATATGCTCGTCAGACAACTGACGAGCAGCTTCAATAGGATCATGAGTTGATGAAGACTGCCCACCAGACGTTCGACTATTTCTCGATGTACGGGCAGGTCTTGGTGGAGGTGGTGCGGGTGTATATGGAGGAGGAGGTGCTAATAAAGGTAGTGGTGTAGGTGTTGTGCCTTTCGATGTTGGTGGTGCTGCGGATGCTGATGTGGGTGTGGGTGTTGGTGTTGGTGTTGGTGTTGGTGTTGGTGTTGGTGTTGGTGTTGGTGTTGGTGTTGGTGTTGGTGTTGGTGTGGTGTTGGTGTTGGTGTTGGTGTTGGTGTTGGTGTTGGTGTTGGTGTTGGTGTTGGTGTTGGTGTTGGTGTTGGTGTTGGTGTTGGTGTTGGTGTTGGTGTTGGTGTTGGTATTGGTGTTGGTGTTGGTTGTTCGGTTGTTGGTGTTGAGTTTGGTACGGCTGTTGGTGTTGATGTGGGTGTGGGTGCTGTTGCTGGTGTTGGTGTTGGTGTTCGTGCTGTTCTTGGTGGTGGAGGTGCGGATGCTAATTCATTAAATGATGGCACTGCAGGTCCTTCATTGTTGGTAAAATCTCTAGCAGGATATCGATCAACAAATGTTTTTTGAATTACAAGTTGATCAACTTCTGTAGGTGCCAAGTAAGTTCTTTCGGGGCCATTGGATCCAATAGCATTCATCAAATTGTCGTCGTTAAATTGTCTGTACGACCGGATACCACTCTCTTCCATGTTGATGTTTTCGTAGATCACTTCAGGCGGGATGCTTGGATCATCCTGAGTAATCTTAGCAATTTCTTCGTAATAAGGCATGTTTGGAACAGTTCCACCAACTCCGGTTTCTCTTGCTGCATTTCTTACTGTGGTAAAACGCTGCTTCATATCTGCCCACTTTCTTTGCATACTTGTTTCGCTGATGTTTGCCAAAAAAGTCCTGAGTACATCGGTGCTAGCATTCTCAGCTAACTTTTCCTTCAGTAAAGCAGGTGAATGTACCCAGATAAGCTGCATTAAGGCAGTATCGCTTCTTCTCAGCAAGTAGCTGTAGGTACCAGCCATAATTTCAAGGAGGACACAAATAGCAACATCAGGCCATACATGGTAGGACCGTGAAGATGGTTGTTCAGGCTCATCGTCATCATCGACATTGGCGTTACTGTCAGCTTCGGTGTTACCGTTGTTAACAGGAGTGGTGTCTTGCTGAACGGTAGGATCGGCAACAAACACAAAGGTGCCAGTGCGTCTGCCACGTTCACGTCTGCCTCCACGTCCATTTCCACGACGGCGTCCGAGACCACTTACGTTGTTGGGGGCGTTGTTATTAGCTTCGGTATTGTTCATAGTAAGGTAAGTGATAAAATGTATTTGGCAAATTAAAAGGAAAGAAAAATAAAAATAAAAAACACTGGATTTAAAGACGTTTGTTGTTTTATTATTTCCTTTTCAAGTAAACAGTTTTGAAAACCAGATCACTTTGATCATGTTTTTATTTGATTCCTTAACATTTAGTAAGTTGTTCTTAACCTTCCTGCTTGCAAAATCACCTTTTATAGAGTTTTGTACTTCCGAAGGAAGTACTAGTCCTTTTTTAAGCTTTGTATACCTTCCATCTATGTCGAGTAAAATTTAAAGAAAAATAAAAAGTTGGAGTAAAGCCCCAGTTTTTACAGGATTCACCTGTAACTAAAACTACGGCCTGTTCAGAACATGATACGCAATGACACTTAATATTATCTTAATCCCAGGGGGTCAAAACTTACTCGCCGTATATGGTCATCTGTATACCTTCTATATACGGCGACCAAATTTTAATGTTTTTGTATATATCAACAGGTTTTGACCTATATACTTTGGGACCTATACCAGGTCTTATTGATGCTTTCTTAAAGATATAAGCAAAGTTTCAGCTCAATACAAAGATCAAAAATGAGTTCGTTAACTCGACGTATATGGAAATATTTAGTGTACCCATTTATATTACACAGCAAAGAAGCCCAAGTATAGTAAATGTTTTTAACATTTCTGGAAAGTTAATATCTTCAATCGAAATACAACAAAAAAAAGAATGTTCTGCATTATGAAATTCAGAAATTCAGAAATAAAAAAGGAAGACAATTTATTGTACACGCCTTGTAACATTGGGGATTAATAACAGTATTATTTTATTATGTTAATCTTTAACCTGGTCTATACCTGTTTTTTTTTATACCATTGATGCTTTTACAGTGGACTCAAGTTTTGTAAAAAAAAAAACTTTGTACAAACTTCAACACGTTTTCAGCGAGTTAAATCATTCTTACCCTGTCCACGAGGAACAAATAACAGGAATCGCCAACTACAAAGCTCTAGTTATAGTAAAATTTGATAAGTAAATATCTTCTATTCAATTAAGCTTTTGGATTTTTATAAACGCATATTCTTGTTTCAGTTTGTTTTTTAACATATAAAATTATATAAACCAACATACTAAATTGATAAATCAAGATAGAAGCAATAATAGTCAGACTGAGTTTTAGCATTTCAAAATAATATCCCTGCCAGATAAACCAACACATAGAACGGATTCTACAATACTAACTGTATACACGTTACAATGTTTTGCATACAGGAAATAACAGTATTACGTAAGGCTTCTATAACAGCTACTGCGTGTAAAAATGTTGTTTTTGCTTATCGGGTGAAACCTAACGTGAGATAGTTAATTAGAACATCCAATGACACGAAGCAAAAAGTTAACAATTTATTCTACAGATAGTCACTGTTGATATGGCTTATGTTAACATAGTAACTTATTAAAGTGCCTGTTAATGTTTAAAAGAATTCGAATTAACGTCTCTTTGGCACTTTTCTCAGATTACATTACATAAGTAAGGGAAACAAACTAATACAAAAACTAAGAGAAGTTAATTACATTACTAGAAAAAAAAGTAGCGGCCTAGAGGCAAATATGATAAAGTTCCTTTCAAAAGAATAAAAATATATGTCTAAAAAAAAGGTAACTAGTACACCACGGATAACAGGCAACTCAGCTCTTAATCCAAAATTCGCAAAAAACTCATGACGACAAAACACTCAAGCCTTAATGTGCAAAACACACCTAAACTTGAGCACGTACAGCACCTAATTCAAATCGAGTGCAATCAACTATTTAAAATTGAAGAATAGTAGGAAAATCATTAAAAATAAAAGCGCCAATAGCTCGTACTAGTTGTCATTATCGAACATCATAACTATTAATTTTTGGGGAGAACCAGATTGCTAAATCATTAAAATAAAGAAACTGATGCTTTTGTGACAAATTTTATTCTTTCGATTTTATTATTCATCAAACTATCAAAAAGGGAAACTCGCTACAACAACCCAGGATTGTTGAAGTCATAAAACGGTTTTGCTTTATGATTACTTTAGGTCATTAGTCGATGGGGTTTATAGAATCAGTAATTCACTAACGAAAAGTGACAATGAATCTTTGGTTATAGCAGCCTAAAATGTCGCTGCATTGGTTGGTATTTAAATAATATTTTTTTCTGCTAATGCCCTCAATTTTCGTGTTACCTGTATGTGCATGCTTATAAAAGTTGAATCTGGGAGCGAGTAAATCTCATACAACAAACGTGACAAATCCGCATTGTATGCACCAACTTAACGAGGAACAAGTAAATTAGATAAATAATGACGTTCGTAACAAAGTCTGTTTATGAAATTATGACAGATATGTTGTAAAACCTCTCATTATTTTTCTAACAAAATGCAAAGCGACTTCCCAAATTACTGGTTTTTTGTCTTTGCCTAACGGGAATACATTTCAAAATAACAGTATTGAAGATTGGTAATGTCGTATGCAATTCAAAGCTATGTTATAATATGAATATTTGCAATAACTTTGATAATCGTAAATTAGGGACAACAATATTAAAAAGGGTTTTACATCTTGAAAACTATGTTGGTTTAATTAGGGATGTGAACTTTGTGAAATGTCGAATAGAAAAGTTTGTGTTCTAAACAGAGTTTCCATTTACTTCATGTACAAATTATTCGCAATCAACTTATAAATCAATTGTATACGTTCACAAATTCCAAACGTCTTCAATTTTCTTACCGGCATCAATATAAATTACAAACGAAGTAAAATATTCTCTATTGCAACTATATTAATGATACGCCTACTCATAGTAACGTTTATATAGTAATGTTTTGAGTGACATAATTTAATGATTTATACTTTATATAGAAGGATTCTACCAGTCGAAATTGAAAAAAAAGCTGTGTAAACATAAGCAGTGTAATACAAACAAAAGTCAATATATATTTAAGCCATTCAATTAGTAATTAAACGCTTAAACGTCCATAAATACAAGTTGAAATTTACCATAGCTATTAAATATACTAAACTGCAAACACACTTAAGATGATCTTAAGCCTCAATACACACTCAAGAGCAATAACCTAAGACACTTTAAATTGCATTATTTTGACAGCCTTTTTAATGATTATTTGTACCGATTAATAGAGTGCAATAAATTGCTACCTGTGATTTTAGCCAATTTTATTATATCTCATATAACGATTTCTCTACGTTATAACTAAATCATTTTCCTCTCCCTTCTTCACGGCAACTTACGGCAATGTTAGACAGCTGGTGAACCTTCGCCTTATTTGTATATGTATTATTTTGCCCAGATTTAGCTCTTCATTTCAGAAACTTTTATCACTATTTTTGTATAAAAAATGGGCTATTTATTTTCGGTTTCCGATCTTGAGAGCACCTATTCGGACGAAATTTATATGAATTCGACATGAATTTTTTTTTGTTTTTTGTAGTAACTGTAAGTTTATTAGATATTGTTGCAGCCAATCTAAATTGACTTGGTGTTACACAGGATAGGATATTTTCTATAAATACGTCCCTTTTTTTTCGTAATAAATAATTCTCCAGTTTTATCTTGACTAAAAATCTAGTTTCTTAATAATTTGTAATTGACTCCTTTGTGTTTCCCTCAACTTTTCTACTTCTTGTTTATCTTAAGTTTATACTTACATATAACAATTAACTTAAAGTTCATATTTTCACACTCGACTCGAATCTCTTTATTACTACAACCGTACATAAGATATTGTTTATAATAACATAATTACTTTTCTTTTTAATCTTGGCAATTCGTTTATATTTATATTACTTACGCCCTCTTAAAATCATCGTTGATTATCTTCTTATCCTAAAAACTTTATATTATAAGATTTCTTAAGTTGACTACTTCCAGTCTGGTGCTCACTTTCATAACTACTTTATTATTAACCGCAGTGTTAATAACCTATATCCACCTTATCCTTTAAGAACTATTACCAGTGTCTTAACAATATATAGAGAAATTATAAAATTAGCCCGAAGGCGTCACTAGACTATCAGTACGAACTAAAGGGGATTGAGTTTCTAAAGTATCAGCAATAAGTACTGAGTGATCTTGTTGAAACATGTTAAGAGCAGCATGTGAGCTCCACAGATCACCATCGATCACACAGCGCCAGTGGTATTTCCAAAGTGTTGCTAATCCAGAGCCAAGAATAACAAGCATATCCGACGATAGAGGCTTTTGGTTTTGACCGCAGAGAGATACAAAGCCGGACCAAATATCAAATTCAGTCTCGAAAGTGTCACCAATGTTAAGAAGAGAGTTTACGTTACACCAGTATTGCCACTTATCGAAACATCCTACCACAAAATGGAACAAGTCTTCGGAAGAAGAGACTAAACATATAGGGCAGCTGGCACACGGATACTTAGTAGGAGACCACCGGTGTAATTTAGCCCTGTAGCCTATACAATCCTGGAGTAGCCGCCACCACGGAGTGAAAGCCTTACTGGTCATATCCAAGGACCAAAAGAGCCGCCATAAGGAAGGCCGAAGTAGGAATCGGGTTGGAACCACTTGAGGTATGACGGCGCGAATCTCAAACTTCGTACGATCTGGATGCCAATACCAACGAAGATCACCTGGACGTATACCAGAAACAGTAACCATGTTACCACGGTCTTGGGGGATAGTCCAATGATAAAGCGCTGGCAGCCATGCCGGGAGTAGAACATAGCGTTTGACTGATTATGCAAAGCTGTTGGAAGAAAGCCAGTTGCAGCATACCAGCCATCGGATGGATACAAGGCTCGTCTAACCTCTTTCACTCTGCTAGCATTGATGACACGTGTATTTTGCATGTTGTCGGTAGACTGATTCCAAGAAAAGATGTCAGAGACCAAATACCGAAGGGGCACGGGAGAAGGTACCAGTGTCGGAGACCAAGTATTACCTGCATCACCAACAGTTACAACACATTGAAGAGACAGATCTAGAAACCATCGAGCAGACCATGTGTTGGACAAGGACAGTGGAGGAAGCTTCGGTAGAATTTTGCCTAGTTGAGCCAAAGGGACTATCCGTTTCAGTGAATTTTGAAATTCAGTCGGATATAAGAACCAGGGTAAAATTGAGGCATGACCGGTATATAACTGGATACCACGAACCAACCAAGGAGAAACAAAATCAGTTGTCTTCGGGCCGGAGATCAACCGCTGAATGTAGATGTGTTGCAATGCTAGCTGTTGCAGATGCACATCGACCAAGCTAACACCACCGAATTTTCGCGGGACATACATAGTAGACATCGAGGGCCGGGGCCAAAAAGGAAGTAAATATCCACGAACCAGAGCTTGGACAGAATCGAACCACTTAGTTAGAACAGACACCACACGCAAAATGTGCCAGAGCCGACTTAAAAGCAGAGAATTGGAAACAAGACCTGATCCACGCAGAGAAAGATTACGCTGACGTAAGATATTCGAGTGTCGCAGTATTTTAAGCCGAACTTCGTCCCGAAACGCATCGAGCTGTGTAGAGGTATGGTATAGAGGGTAACCAAGATATCGCACCGCACCAACAGAACTAGAATCATGCCATTCGAGACCTTCAGATTGCGCAATGTCGACCCATTCAGCATGACCAACACCGGAGAGAGACACCAACACCGTTTTACTAAGATTTACTTTGACGTTTGAGCTAGACCGTAGCAATCCAATAAAGATTTCAAGACCGGCCATTCACCTGGACCAGTTAAAAACACCTCCAAGTCATCAGCATAACCTAGTAATTTGACAGGACGACGAGGGTTCACCACCGACTGACTGATAAAATCGCAATCGGATGAGCTAGAAGTATCAATCCATACCGGAAGAACGAGAGGACACACCGCCGAAGACGCCGCACCACCACCTAGAGAAACACCAGAGAGACCAGACCACGCTAGAATGGACCGAAGAAGAGGTTCAAAGGCCAAACCCGCCGTTGATTTCATGCATTGGCTTTCTTTCGCGTAAAGAATTTTTATAAAAGGTATTTCCATCCAAGATCCACTTTCGCTAAAAGAATTTTTACAAAAGGGCTTTCTTTCGCTTAAAGAATTTTTACAAAAGGTATTTGCATCCAAAAACTTGTTTCGACGATATCTCGGTGAATTCTATACATCCATCAGAAATTTTTATTGCATTCGATTCCTCTCTATCGTTTATATCTTTTTTATTTATTACGCTACCCTCCATCTCTTCGATCTCGCCGTTTATCGCGACATTTAACCAATCCGGCAAAGATTTCAACAATCTCAATTCTCAATCTCTAATTTTAATTTTCTTTCTGGATCATTAAAAAATGGCAGAAACTCTTCCCGAATCTTGGGCAAACATCGTGTCCCTTGGAAAATCCAAGAAAGTTATTCGCCCTTTGTCTGTCTCTAACAATTTGGATTCTCAATTCAAGTTACAAAGTAAGGTAATCTACCAACATGAAATCCTTGACAGCATCATCAGAATGCAGCAGGCTACCGCAATCGTGAAACAGGCCTTGACACCTGACTCTGCTCTTTTCTCCTTTCCTGCTTCTTTACTCGAACATCGTACCGAAGCATATAAGCTTATTGAAACGCAATGTGGGCCGGTCCATGGTTTCCGCCCAATCAGTAATTATGGCTCGAGCTTAAATGGTGATCTTTTGATTGAAGTCAAATTTGTTGATGACTCAAGTCTTGAAAAGGCAATTTTTACTGGTGTTACAATCAAGAACACCGTTATCAAAGCAACTATTACAGTTGATTCCGAAAGTTACAGGCTTGCCCATGTGAAAATCTCACTTTTACACATTCCTGATAAGGAGGAATTTCTTGAAAAGTTTATGAACTCTCTTCTTGTTTACGGACAAGTCTTGCAAGTCAAGGAGTACACTTGTGGTGGGTATTTCGAAGGCCAATTGTCAGTGATACTCAATACGTCGGCCGGTTATTCTCCTGATGATAGTGCAGTGTTTCCCAATGAGCCGCTCACCAATAATTTATATCTGTATCAATGGGATTGTTTTGCTTCGGCATCCTTCAAAGGTGCCCCTATCGTTTGTCATTGGTGTCACCACGCCGGTCATGTACGCTCGAAATGTCCCGAATTGGCCAAAACCAAATGCTTCGCTTGTCAAGATCATGGTCATACCGCCAAGTTTTGTAAAAAGAGAACGTGTCAGCCAGAGCAAATCAATACTCCTAAGAAGGAATCAAATGTCAAGCTGCCTACGATTGTTGAACAGTCTATCTCCGATTCTGATACCGACCTGTCAGATGCGTACCAAGCTTCGACGACTGTTGCAAGTGGTTCTTCATCGTCCAAGTACGCCACAACTATAAAAACGGTCTGCATGGAAATTGAAGAGGACGAGGGTACATCACCCGTGTCACCTCCGACATCCCATTTGGCTGGTAAAATGGTTGATAGCGGAAGGAAAATACTAGGACATAAGCGATCCCTATTGGGTAAACAGAAGGCTATCAAACCAACCTCCAAAGGTACTACTCCTAAGTTGGTTGTCCAGACGCAACCTGGTCTTAAAGGTCACAAAATGTTTACGAAGACAAAGGTTACTAAAACGAAATAGTTTAGCTTTCCCTTTTTCACTTCTATATCTTTCTTGCTAAATAAACTCACTGTTACATACAAAAAAAAAAAAAAGAGGTTCAAAGGCCAAATTAAAGAGCAGAGGAGAGAGAGGATCACCTTGCCGTAGACCTCGAGACTGAGGTATATGCATTTCTAACCAACCATTGATAGAGATGGATATCTCAGTACCAAAGAACAGAGTACTTAGACAATCCACCAGCGTCAAGGGAAAACCAAATCGAAGAAGCACCTTGCGGAGATATTCCGGATGGACCCTATCATACACCTTTTTTTGATCCAGCAGAACTGCCACTTGAGGAATATCAGGATCCACATCACGAGCATTAGCCATAAATATTTGATTTAACCAACCATTGTCCGAGATCAATCTATAGAGCATAAAACCAGTTTGGTAAGGATTGAACAGCTGAGGAAGAACAGTATTAAGCCTATTAGCCAGAAGTTTTGTGAACAACTTTGCATCGCTATTGATGAGAGAGAGCGGACGCCAATTCTTGAGTAACATAGGATCACTTTTCTTGAAAAGTAAGACCATCCTAGTTTGTTGCCAAGAAGGAGGAAACACACTGATAAGAGCATCATTTAAAATACCTAGCAGCATCGTACGAAAATCAGCCGAAGACTTGAATAGGTATTTGTACACCTCAAAAGGAAGACGATCCAAACCAGGGCTTTTACCAAGGGGGGTATGACCAACCAAATCTTGCAGAGTATCCATCAGAATAGGATCTGTCAGCGAATCTGAATCCGCTAGAGACAACACCACATCATTAGGAATACTTGCCGAGAGAGAGTCAACAGCTGCATCATCAATTAAATCGGGTGTGTATAGCTCCTGGTAAAAACCTCTTGCTTCCCGAATAATATCATCTGAATTCAGGAAGACAGAACCATTAGAGGAGCCCTTTAAGGATTGTATAGTCTGTTTAGACTGAAGCTCTTTATAAATCGGTAGAAATACTTGTTGTTACGTTCACCCAGTTCATGCCAGCGAGTAGCAGAGCGAAGCATGCATTCACTGAATTCGACATGAAATTCAGTAAAATTTACACAAAATTCGAGATGAAATTCTATTGAATTCGCGAAATTGTTATCACATGACATTCACGTGATTATCACGGGAAAAAATCCCAATGGCTATACGGGGATATGTGAAGACAAACGCTAATATACACTAAACGTAAATAGACGCAACATGCAATTGCATGTGTAACAAATACATGTACAAATAACATGTAGTTTTTATATAGTTAAATGTAATTGTCTATGTTGTAAAACGCGGGTTTTTAATCTGTTCAAGTTCCGAATCGCCGCTCAAATGTGATTTTTCAAATATTATTTTTCGATTTCACTTTTCATCTAAAGTTTTTCAACGCGAAGCTTTTTTTTTTTTTTTTTTTTTCGCGGGGAGCTTTCTTTCGAGGGCGCTTTCTTTGGCTTAAAGAATTTTTACAAAAGGTATTTGCATCCAAAAACTTGTTTCGACGATATCTCGGTGAATTCTATCCATCCATTCAATTTTCTTTTTGCATTCGACGCGTCTTTGCAAGCTCTATCTTTTTCAATTATTACGCTTTCGCTCATCTCTTCGATCTCGACTTCAATCTCGACATTTATAGAAATCTTCGAACAAAAAACTTTTTTCAATTCTCAATTTTCAACTCTTGATTCCAATTTTGAAAATGAATGACATGGAATCAAATGATCGGTTGTCCTGGACAACTGTTGTTGCTCGTGGGGCGTCCAATAAAATTGTTCGTCCAATGTATCGCTCTAAGGTGCAAGACTTGGAATCTAAGCTTTCTGGTACGGTAATTTACCAACATGCTGACCTGGAAATTCAAATCTTGGCTCGTAAAGCTGCTGCTATTGTGCGTCAGGCTTTGACTCCTGGTTCGGTTCTTTTTTCTTTTCCGGCTCGTCTTTTTAAAGTTCGGGCAGAAGCTTATACTGCCATTGAGGCCAGTTGTGGTAAGATCACGGGTGTTCGGCCACTTAGTATGTATGGTGGTAAGTCAACTGGTGATCTTCTGGTGGAAGTGAAGTTTTCGCGTCCCGAAAGTACAACTAAGGCTGTCTCAACAGGTGTAATGGTTGGTGAACTTTGTTTCAAAGCTTCCCCTTCACATGATGGTATGTCAAATAGTAATTTGGTGCATATCAAGTTGAGCATGCTAAGAATACCTGATGAAGAGAATTTTGCTGCCGATTTGAAACGGTCTCTAAAGTATTATGGTAAGGTGTATCAGATCAAGAAGTTCACTTATCATGGTTTTTTTGAGGGTGAGGTGTCTGTTTTGTTGGATGTGTCTGAAGGTTATCAGAATGATCTTGGTGAAACATTAAAAGCCCAACCTCTGTCGAATAGCTTGTACCTGGAACAATGGGATTGTTTTGCTGCTGCTTCTTTCAAAGGTGCTCTTCCTGTGTGCCATTGGTGTAAAATGGCTGGTCATCTTCGAAAGGACTGTCCTGAACTGGCCAAACGGGTGTGTTTTAGTTGTAATGGTCATGGTCATACCGCAAAATTTTGTAAGGCCAAAAAGATGAACAGCGACGCCGTTGATTTGCACGAGTATCTGCGCGCTTGCAATCGCGCAAAAGATGATGGTATTAATATATCTACGGCTGATCCTCATGGTTCTATAGCTGGTGAAAAAGCTGCCACACTTGATAAAGGCACCAAATCTTCGAAATGGGCTTCGGGTTCTACAATTTTTGATGTGGACATGGAGTCTGCCCCTCAGGTGCAGCTTGAGGTTAGCGAGTCAGTTGAGACAATCGGGTCTAGCATGTGCGATGACATGAGTGAAGATGAAGACTTGGCAGTTGGTGCGTCTAGTGGTGTGTCGGTTGGTGCCTCTGGGTCTGGTGGTGGTTCCGGTGTGAACTCTGATGTTGGTGAGGTGTCCCAGGTCGGTGGTATTAGTCTTGGTGCTGTTTCTTCTGGAACTGGTGGTGATATGTCTGGTGTTGGTGGTGATATGTCTGGTGCTGGTGGTGATATGTCTGGTGCTGGTGCTAGTGCTGGTGGTGGTTCTGTGGCTGGTGCTGCTCAAACTGGAAGGAACCATAGTGGTGGTGGTGGTCGAATTCTCGGCTCAAAGAAAGGAAAGACTGTTCAGCCTGCTGGCGGTAGTTTGAATAAAGTATCTAGTTCTTCGAAGAAAATGGGTGTGCCTCCGCCATATACAAGTATTCATATGAAAAAGAAACTCCAACAGATTGCCGATAAGGCGCAATGTTAGGTAAACCTCTTCGCTTTGGCTCACTTAATGCGCGCAGCATTTTCAAGTCGACGAGCCCTCAAATTCAAAAGGAATTTATTTCTTTTCTGCGCAATCGTTCTTTGTCTCTGGATGTTCTTTGCATTCAAGAAGTTTCTTCTTTTCATCAAGCCCATCTTACTGATGATCAAATGCTTCAATTCTGCTCCTTTCTTTTTCCTCGTTGTTCGGTAGTTGTCTCCAAATATTGTGCTATTGTATGTCTCAATTCTGGTCTCTATCTGGATGACACTGCTGTTTCATTGGACGAGCGTTGTGTTGTTGGTTCAGTTATGGATCTTCAGCATAATGTCTTGTGTCGCGTTGCCTCTGTTTACGTACCGGCACAGTCTTCGGACCGTCCTCTGTTTTTGAACAATTTTCTTTCTCTTCCTTTTTTCTCTGACATGTCTACTGCGTCTTGGCTACTTATGGGTGATCTCAACATGAATCTTCATAATGTCAAGGTTACTGGTCATTCCACTGTGTCTTTCTGGTTTGATTGGGTGCGTAGTCATTTCGACAATTGCTTTCCTTCTGGTCTTCCTACTCACACGCAGGGTAACTCAAGAACTACTATTGATTATGTCTTTGGTCATCGCTCTCTGGCTACTCGACTGGTTAATGGTATGATTCGAAAAGTCCCTTCGGCGTATACAGATCATTGTTTACTATCAATCGATCTTGTTCCTGCCCGTGTTGATATTGGTCCTGGTTGTTGGCGTTTCAACCCTACTTTATTGGATGATGCTGAGTTCCTGGTTCTGCTTGATAAGACCGTGGCACTCTTCTTTGATTCCATTGTTTGTGTTGATAATCCTGGTGACGGTGGTGGGGGTGAACCTGTGCCTGTTCAAGACATATGGGAATCTTTCAAAGTGTTACTGAAGTGCTGCGCACGGAAGTACACTAGAGGTGCTAAAGCTCGGTTCAAGAACAAAGTTGCTTCGTTACAACAGGAACGTACAATTCTGCTATCAACTGCGTCGGGCATTATCACTAGTGATGCTGTGTTAACTCAGTCTGGTTCTGGAAGTATCTTGGTTGATTCCTCGAAACTGAAAGAGCTAGATCAACTGATTGACAATCAGATTCAGAAAGAAACGCGTGAATGTATGCTTCGCTCTGCTACTCGCTGGCATGAACTGGGTGAACGTAACAACAAGTATTTCTACCGAGTTATCAAGGAGCGTCAGTCTAAACAGACTATACAATCCTTAAAGTGCTCCGCTACTGGTTCTGTCTTCCTGAATTCAGATGATATTATTCGGGAAGCAAGAGGTTTTTACCAGGAGCTATACACACCCGATTTAATTGATGATGCAGCTGTTGACTCTCTCTTGGCAAGTATTCCTGATGATGTGGTGTTGTCTCTAGAAGATTCAAACTCGCTGACAGATCCTATTCTGATGGATACTCTGCAAGATTTGGTTGGTCATACTCCCCTTGGTAAAAGCCCTGGTTTGGATGGTCTTCCTTTTGAGGTGTACAAATACCTATTCAAGTCTTCGGCTGACTTTCGTACGATGCTGCTAGGTATTCTAAATGATGCTCTTATCGGTGTGTTTCCTTCTTCTTGGCAACAAACTAGGATGGTCTTACTTTTCAAGAAAGGTGATCCAATGTTACTCAAGAATTGGCGCCCGCTCTCTCTCATCAATAGCGATGCAAAGTTGTTCACAAAACTTCTGGCTAATACGCTTAATTCTGT